ATGTCGAGAGACAGAGAGAAAGGGAAGAGGGTTGGAGGCTGATTGCCAGCGAAACAAGGTTACCGGTCATTGAAGAAACCGGGGAGACATCAACAACACAAGATACGAGTGGGACGATGGTGGTCAACGTGTCTACCATGCACACATCAACGACAGAGGACTTGGTGTATATGGACATGTGTGAGGGTTTTTTCTTAGGGGAACAACAGTTGGCAGAGCGCAGAGACGATGCAGAGCACAGAGATGATGCAGAGGAGGAGGATGAGGAAGAGTACRAGGGGTCTGACGTGGAGGTGAGCGGCAGCGACGTCAGCAGCGACGAAGAGGACGACGACAATGATGTGTACTGCGATCTCAAGACGGCCTGTGGACAAGTAACCAAAGGTTGGGCACATGCAATCCTCAGGTTGGCACGAGTATTTCCCGATCCGCACAACGTGCTGCGTGTGGTGTTCAAGGGGGTGACACCTGATGGCGCAATGCAGTATGCTGCAGTGACCAGCATAATGCAGTCCTACAACAAGGGGAAAAAATGGTCACGTGTCGGCAAGGGATGGTTTGTACTGATGAACAGAGAGGCTGTGCTAGCAACATCGCTGACATGGGGACTGAACCTGAGCTGCCTCCTGCATGGTGCAGTGGCCACAGCTTGGAGGGAGACTTTGCACCCCGGCTTGTCAATAGGGGACGCAATAGTTAGTGCTCGGTCACGGCACCACACACACCCACACCCACACAGCACGACAAACCACGTCAGACATCAGGGATGATGCCACACATGCATAGCACATGGCATTACAGTTGTTGTACAAACAACCTGTGTGGGTGTGTCTACACATAGATTGCTCAACCTATACATCCCTCACCTTGTACATCCCTCTCCCTCCCCCTCAGTTTGAACAACCCTCGGGTTGACTACTGTGTACCATATTCGTGTTCACCGGTGTTCTCTGTCGGAGTATAGGGTCAGACTAGTCTCTCTCTCTCTCTCTCTCTCTCTCTCTCTCTCTCTCTCTCTCTCTCTAGTTGTAGGTTTAGTTGAACCTGTATCTCCCCCACATGTTTACGACAGCGTGCAGACATTGCATATTTCTTTCTTTCATGCAGTTCATTATTGTTACGATGTTTGTCATTCCATGTTGCTTTCTGGGGCGCTTAAGACTCATCAGACCGCCCCCTCTGAGGACTATGGCGTGTTTCGTGTATGATT